TAGGCAATCGGAGGGAGGGAGGCGACACAAGCAGACCCAAGCAACTCACTGGTATCTCTGTGTGGTCAGGTGGTGTGTGTGAGTTTGTCAAGGAGGTGCTGGGCTACGGCAGGCTGCAGCTGCCGCGATACGACCACCTGATCGACTTGCTGCGAACAGCCATCGACCAGTGAGCACACTCAGTAGGGTGGACGGAGGGATGGATGGATGTGCCAATGTCTTGTTCCGTCTCCTGTGGTGTGTGTCAGGTTGCCAGCCTCCGAGCATGTGCGTCGGCTGCCCTTCTTGGATGAGGCCCTCACGCCCCCCGCCTGCCGCATCGCCCGGCACTTCACAGACCAACACAACCTCACACGACTCAAGAAACTCGCCAGCCCCCCCGGCGCCTTCACAGAGACCGACCTCACTCCCCCGCCCCCCACACCGCCCCTCCCACCACACACGCCACCGTCGCCCCCACCTGTGGCCAACCGACGCATGCATGGCGTCACGGAGCGTCTGAGGGGCATGGGCCTTCTTGCCTTGGGCGCCTTGGGGCGGGCCATGACCTCCCAGCCTCCGGGATCGGCTGCCGAGAGTCTGAGAGGTCCCTGTGGGGGCACCATGGCTGGGGCCCTGGCCACACAGCCGTCGCTGGACGAGCTCTGTCTTGGTGCGCTGATGGACCCCCGGCAGCGCCGTGTGTGGCTGTCTAGCGAGATGACGATGGTTGGCGAGTTCCTGCTGTGGGCCACACAGCCGCCTGCCTATCGGCTCATCAAGAGGGCCGCCAAGGGCGACCAGGGGGGCGGCGAGCCACCCGCTGTGACGCTGTCGACAATGCCGGAGAACTGTCTGTGCTGCGTGACGGACTTCATGACGACCCTCGAGATCATCGGCAGTGTGGGCCTGTGGGCCTCCGCCTTCCGCTCCCTCGCCATCAGGCCCGAGTTCCACACGCGGCTGACCATCGCCGGCGAGCCGCAATGGCACCGATTCGACCTCGCCGTGTCGAGCCTGTGGGCGCCGCGCATGACACTCATCTCGACGGCCGACATCAGGCCCCCCCTCCCAAGCCTCCCCGACAAGGCCCGCATAATTGTGCAGAAGCAGCGGGGGCGCGGGGGCGCTGTGCGTGGGATCGACTCGTCCATGAGCCCCTCGCCGCCCTTTGACAGCGTCAACGACAGCGCCATGACGCTGCCCTTCGCCTACCCCCTCTCGTCGATTCTCACTGGCGCCATCCGGCCACCACTCATCCCGCCCACCCTCCCGGCCGTGAAGCACTACGCCGACCCGCCCTCCATATTCTCGGCCAAGAGCCCCCTGCTGCACAAGGCCCACATCACCGGCGGCACACGCACCGTCCTGCACCCCCGCAGCCCCTCCCTCCGGCGATTCGCCATCAACGGTGTGGTGGGTGTGCTGAGGCATCGCACTCGACGTTGGCGGAGCTGCGTGTGCGTGAGGGGCGGGTGGACCTGCCGGAGGTGCCAGCGGCCTACGGCTTCAAGCCGCCCCGCCCACCTGGCGTCGATCGGTCTGGCAACGCTATGCTGGAGTTCCCGAAGCTGACGACTGTGGTGGTGCCATCGGACAAGGCCAACCTCAGCGGATTCACTAAGGTCAGGGACAGACAGACAGAATGAGACCGACCGGTCATGTGTGTCCCCCTGTGTGTGTGGTGGGTGGGCAGGTGGCCTATGTGTGTCGGTGGTCTCTGCCGAATCTGACGTCTCTGACGGTGACGGGCGGCTGCCGCCCTCATCTGAGCCGCAGCGTGACGACCAGCGCCCACTTCGCCGGTGGCCACCACACCGATGTGGCCCACGAGGACGCCACTCGCATACTCGAAAGCAGCACATCCGAACACATCAACAGGGAGAAGTTTCGGTACGCACAGAGACCCATTTCAGACAGCCACACCGATCTGTGTTCTGTCTGTCTGTCAGCGGTGAGACATTGGGTGTGTATGTGGGCGCCTGGCTGAACAACACCGACAAGATCGAATCGGTTGAGGCCACCGACATGCCGGTGGGTGAGGGAAGACACCACACAGAGTCCATCCATTCCCTCCCTCTGCTGTCCTCTCTTGACAGGTTCACGTGTTGAAGGCCGCCCTCTCCATCGCCCCCGACGGCGGGCTGCCCCACCTCAACCGCCTCGCCGACACCAGCGGCCCAGATGCCACCGACCAGACACTCCGCCAGCTCAGGGCACTCCTGCACAAGAAGGGAGCACCGCTGGCCGATCTGATGGCGGCGCCGACGTCCGACGGCAGCAGTGGGGATGACGGCGGTGAGGGTGAGGGCAGCGGACAGAGGCGGGAGTATGCGGATCGCTGCCACAACCCTTAAACAGACAAGAAAGACACTGATGGGGTAAGAAATGCTTGTGTGCGGCACCATGACTGCCCATCGGCACCTGGATGCGTGTGTGTGTGTGTGTTGTGTCTGCAGGCGTTGGGTGACAGACAAGACAGACAGACAGACAGACAGGGTGGGACTGCCGATAAGAGAGGGGGAGAGGGATGACAGGACCGACCGCTGATCTCACTGACTGACTGATTGACTGACCTGCGCCAACCGATCGGATGAGGCAGAGAGCACTGTGTGTGTGTGTTTGTTGTCTGTGTGCAGATCATCTGAAGGGTGGGGTGACAGACAGGGAGGGAGGGGCAGCAGGACCACTGTGTACAGCCTGAGGAGTGAATGTCCAGTTCGTTCGCTGTGGTGCTTCCTTTTTCATCCACTGGATTCATTTCATTGACTGCATCGACTGCACCGACAAATCCGCTGTTGACATGACATTTATGTCAGCCCAGCCACACGCACACAGACGCCACGTCACGTCCAGGGAGTCAGTTAGCCTGCCCGGTTGCTATGCTATACACGCACGCCACAATGGGAGAGCCACACACACACACACACACACACAAAGACAGACAGCCCGCTATGCGATGCACACCAAGAAATAGTCATCACCGAAGCACAGCACCACCACAGCCATACCACACACACATACAAACACACAAGCACACACACGCACAGAGTCCACGTCATCAATTCAGTCTACGTCGGCTCAGCCGGCCGGCTATAAAATGACTCAGATGGCAAATAAATAATGACAAATGACTGCTGGCTCCAATCACCCGGTCGCTGCGCTGCTTTGTCTGCTCCGGCGACCTGGCCGGGTACCTCTCTGGTGGGTACACAATGAATGGTTACACACACACAGACACACAGACAGACAGACAGACAGACAGGTGCCCATCCATCCATCCATCCATCCATCCATATGGCGTCCTTACAATATTGTATATCGGCGGCGGAGTCAGACGCTTCATGACGAAGGGATTCTCCTCAGTCGTTCCGTGCCTGCACGTCACTCGCGCACACGCACAACAGACAGGCAGACAGTGTCCGAAAGTGGTTGTTACTTATGCCGTCATCGTGTGTGCACCTACCCCTCGCCGTAGACGTCCGTGATGAGCTCGTCGTCCGTATGTTTGAAGCTGTCAGCTGCGTCGGTGGCGCCCCATCTGGCCGGCCAAAAAGTGAAAAACTTCCATCAAAGTGAGTGGATTTCACGCGATCTGACCTCATCTGCGGCAGCAGCCATCCTCTCTGCCTCTGTCTGCTTCTATGGCCTGCCGTCGTCCGCAGAAAGCGAAATGCAAATGCGGCGAGATTTTCGCGAGCTGAGACGGAGACAGAAAAGATTTACGAGACTGCGGGCCAATTTTCACATTTTTCGTCCCAGTTCGGCTTTGCAGCCTTGTTTCGGCCACAGATCCTCCGTTTCTTTTTCTTTTCGGCTGGTTGTTGGCTTGTGTTGTCCGCCGCATCTCCCTCTACCCCTCCCAACTCGTCCGGTTGTCATCCGCCACTTTTTTCCTCGACCGCCGTGCCCCGGGCGAGGCGATGCCTGGTGGCGCCCTGCCATCTGCGGAGCGGCTGGCGACTGCCTGGCGCCTGCAGACTCAGTGCAGAGTGCGCACGCGCCCTCTCTTTGCCCAAACCGACCTCCAACAGGTGAGTACATATGAGTGTGGCCTCGTGCGTCATGTGTCTTGGGTGCGGTGATGGTGTGGTGTGTGGATGATGTGTAGGGATGAATGTGTGATGCATTTCGTTGCCATGGGTGTGCTCAGATGCCTCCTGTTGCCACGTTTGTGCGTGCAGATGAACGGGTGGCTTTTTCTTTTTGTTCCCGTCTCTTGTTCTCGACACATCTCTTCAGGTGGGTGAGGTTGGTAAGCGCCTCATTGAGTGTCGTCAATGCCCACATCAATGTCCTTGTCTGCTCTTTTGCAAAAAAGCGATCCCCTTGGTTCGATGTCAGAAAATGGGTCAATTTCCTTTGCACGCTGTACAGTCGACCGCAATCCCCCCATATATTCGCGTCTGGGTGACCGGTATGTGTTGACCAGTGGAAAGAACACGCGTATGCACATAGAGCGTGAATCTTGCGTCCGTACATGTGTTTGCAGTGGGATTGGATCCCGATCCGTCAACCTCCCCACAGGCCAAGCCCAAGCAACATCCCGGCTATTCTTCTGTTCATCTCTGGGGCCACTGAAAACTACGTTACAACGGTCAGTGGATCAGGGGATGAAGGCAGTCATGGCCATCTCTCTCTCTCTCTCTCTCTCTGTGTGTGTGTGTGTGTGTGTGTGTGTGTAGGTATGACAGATGAGTCCTGAGATACCTGTCATCGAGGAGCCGGAAGTCGAGGTGCGTGAACACACACAGTTTCCGTTGGACTTGGGCTTTGCGGCCATCAACTCCTACGAGACCATCAAGTTCAAACACTTCAAGATGTGCCTGGTGAGTGAGCACCTACAGACTCTCGCTGGTGACCTTTCGACTGGTTCCTCTTTCTCAATTGCTCTTTCTCTTGGTTTCAGGACGGGCTCTTCCCTTCAGTCGATTACTCCTCCAGGCGATTGCAGAAGAGCTCTTGGTGTCTCTGTGCTCTTGTCTGTGCTGGCTGCTGTGTGTGCAGATCGATGGCTGCCTACATTTTACATCTTTGGGACCTTTCCCCTACACGGCTGCGATGCACCTACCTCATCCAAGTGTGGTATCCCCGGCGGCGTCACAGGTACGTAAGTGAAGGAGAAAAGAACGTCATGAAGATTGACTCATGTCTCGCCTCTTTTCCCTGTTTGCCTACGCATACTTGGCCGCTTCGGCGGCCACCAAGAGCAAGCCCAACAAGGCGTCGAAGAATGACACCCACACAACACACACACACACACCCGAGAGTGTCTTCGTGTTTGTGCGCTGCAGCCAGCGAGGCCACGGTACACCCACAGTGACACATATGTGGATGGATGGATGCGTCGATGGCTATGTCGCAGTACAACTTGGATCTGTACTGCGCCCCGGCTGCCTTCCACCTATTTGCCGTTCACAACGAAGGTCGACGCCCATCACACCGACCACACACACATTGGAACGCATGAATGACTGACTTCCTGTTTGCGTGTGCGTGCTTGCAGGTGTCCAGCAGCTACACGACCACCACAACCGCAACTACCACTGGCACCGCAGCCACCGTGAGCGAGACGAGGCGCACAGATAGACGGCATGAGGCATCTATTAAGGAAATGAGAGCGGTGAGACACAGAGCCGGCCCGCCGACCCGTAAGTTGGAATGTGTGGTTGTTGTTGGCAGGTGACTGTTCATGATCTTGATCCGTCGACTCCTGCGTCTGCGGGGCGGCATGCAGGGATCCGGCAAGGCCAACGGGAAGCAGCGGCCCAAGGACGACGAGAAGGAGCAGACAAGCGATCCTTTTCCCCCTCTCACGGTAAGTGCCAGGAAAGACAATGGAGCCGTGTGATGGACTCTGAGCTGTGTTTTTTGCAGGCGCCGCCACCCCGTCATCCCCGTTTTCAACAAGCCTTTTACGCGGCCCAGCTGACGAATGGGGACCTAGACGAGGCCGCCGAGGGGTCAGACTGCTCAGTCGAGTAAGGGTGACTTCAAATGGCTTGATTGCTGTTCTGGTCACGGTTGTGCGTTGCTTTCAGGCGAACCAAGACACGAGGGTGGTACAAACTCACCGGGTCGCCACATTTGAGGGACATCTGTTGTGAGCTGCTCGACAAAGCGGTGAACTAAACACACAAGTTGGCTGATGCCCTGTAAAGTTTGTGGTCTTTTTCTGACAGAACCAAAACAGGCTGGCGAAGTCAACACTCCAGTAAGGAAACCCCAAATCCACCATCGGATAAACACACCACACCTCTGTGTCACGTGTCGTCAGGCCGTCAGCGTCTAGCGCAGCAGCCGCCCCTCCACCAGCGGCGAACTCCATGGGCGCCGCACCAGCCTGCTCGCCGCTCCCCTCGCCCCTTCCCTCCTCGCGCAGGCTGGTCAGCATGCCGATACACACGCCTTGACGGCTACATGACAGAGACATGCAAGCGCATGTGTGTATCGGGGTATATATCTGTGATGTGTCGCTGAAACAGGCAGGCGAGGAGAAGGAGAAGCAGCGGGCAGGCGTTCCTTTTCCCCCGCTCACGGTAAGTGCCAGGGAAGACAATGGAGCCGTGTGATGGACTCTGAGCTGTGTTTCTTGCAGCCGCCGTCACCCCCTGACCCCAACGTCGGCTGGGCCCATTGTATGGCCCAGCTGACGGATGGGGATCTTAATGCGGCCAGAGCAGCCTCAGGGTGCACCATCGAGTGGGTGCCTGTCCCCAAACGGTCCGGCTACTACTGCAAGATGACTGGCAGCGGAGAGGCGAGGGATGCCTGTCGAGTCGTCCTCGACGCAGCGGTTAACTACACACGCAAGTTGGCTGATGCCCTGTAAAGCTTGTGGTCTTTTTCTGACAGGATCTGATCAGGCGGGGGATTCAGCCGGCCAGCGAGTAAGGAAACCCAAAATCCACCAACAAACAAACACACCACACCTCTGTGTCACGTGTCGTCAGACCGTCATCGTCAAGTGCAGCACCAGCATCCGCCCCTGTCGACCCGCCACCTCCCCACCCAGCCACAGGCAGCCCCCCGCCAGACACGGCCCACGAGGAGACGACAGCCCCATCGCAGAGAGAAGACAAGGCGGCGGCCGACAGGGGTAAGTGACTCATCCATCCACCTACACCTGCATGGAGAACACCAGACATCAAGAGAGAGCTGTGTCGTCTTGCCTGTTCGTTTGCGTCAGGCCTGTTGGGCCTCGCTTGCCCCTCCCTCTGCCCAGCGGCTTCTGCCGGCGGATGGCTGGCACCGCCCCGGGCGCGCCAGGGGAAGGGGGCAGCCCCGGTGACAAGCCAGATGACGATCCCGACACGGGCAATCAGCAAGACCCCGAGACGACAGCCACTCGAGTGTCACATCTGGAGGCCCAAGTCAGTGAGGCGCAGCGGAAGGCGGAAGAAGACACCGAGATCATCCATCGGCTCCATGTCGACATGCAGGTACGTTCTATCCAATGCACACTTATCGTCACAGAATCAGCGAATGCATTCGTGTCTCGTATGGCGTGTCGTTTGTGTGGCTGCCCTGACTTCTTCCAGGCACAAGAGGACCAGATCAGGTTCCTTGCAGCGAGCGAGTACGCAGAGTACCAGGCCAACGACAAGCTGAGAGCTGATCTCGGGGCCGCGAGAAGGCCACACTGCAGAAGATCATTGAGAAGCTGCGAAAGGCTGAGGAAGACGCCGAGACCATCCGTCGCCCTTGGTGGACGTGGCTGTGCTGCTGCTGTGGGCCTCGCCCGGGCCATTCGATTGGGTGAGGGGTGCGTGTGCGTGTGGGAGTTTGCCTCTCCCATCCGGGAGAGGCTGGCTAAGTGCGCTGGTGCGGCTGGATGGGGGGAGGGGAAGGAGGAATCGCTGTCTACATTTTGTATTTGCAGTCTGCTGTTCTGGTGTCCTCGCTTCCCGGCTGGACAGAAGGGAGAGGGATCGAGGCCATCGCTGCCTGCATTTTATATTCGGTGTCTAATTGCTTGATACTCATGCGCTGTTTGACACCTCTTCGATGGCTGGACGAGACATGCCTTGGCATTGTATTGCAACGCAACGTAACCGCTCTCTCGCAACACAAACGCCCCAACAAATCTGTCCAGCTCAACTCACAGCACATAACATCGGTCCATGGACCATATATCACATGATCAGAGGCATCCCATCGCCAACGCCAGCGCCCCGGCCCGCAAACAGATTCGCAGTCTGCCACACACAACATACAACACAGAGACATCACATCACCCACACACCACACCCTGGCAAGTGCAATGTAACCCCCGTACCAGTATTTGCAGCTCTTCCTCGAGCGACCGTCTGGTCATCCTGTCACGCCCTGCTTCTGCCCCCACAGTACGGTGCTGCTGCTGCGGCTGAGCGGCCTGGTGCCTCTCGTCAGACGAATGACGCGACGACTCTGACAATGACGAGGGATGCGGCGAGTCCGTCGCCTGCACACACACCGAGACACAAACCTTCCCTCTGTGTGTGTGTGTCTCCCCCCGATGTGTCTGGATGTGTGGCTGACCACAGCAGGCGGGGCCCACGCAAATCGGTTGGGTGAGCCTGGCCCACCAGGAGCCTTGGCGGCAGTGAGGCGGGAGGGTGCGGACTGCGACGACGCTACCGTCATCAATTGGCGCCTGGACAAAAGGGAGAAGCGGTGGATGCAAGGGCCGGCAAATGGGATCGTGAGACGTTTGCTGACCATGAATGCGTCCGCCAGGTGCCGAAATATCTCCTGAGGCAGAGAGTGACACTCTCGGCTAACCTGCACCCATCGACAGAGGGATGTCTATCGTGAGAAGGAGAAGGCTAGTGGTTCTCACGTGAGTGGCAGGAGAGTCCGTCGTCTCCACAGCTCCTGCAGCTGCTCGCCGCTGACACCTGCCTGCTCCAACACGGCAGCGACAGCAGCAGCAGCAGCAGCAGCAGTGTGTCTCGCGTGTCCTTGTGACTGTGATGGGCCAGCCGCACACTCATCTGAAGACGAGAAGAGAGATACGAGCATCATACAGAGTGGTCAAACAACCCAACCGTAGCTATCGGACGCGCTGGCCTCTCCATCGCTTCTCATCTGTCCGACAGACGCCATCCTTCCAGCTGCCATCCCGCCCCTTTCACCACGACCCCCTCCATCTCCGTATGTCTTGGCCCTTCTTCTGCCGTGTGTGAGCAGCCGCGTGAAGGCCCAATGCACCCTCCCGCCGAACAGAAAGGCCACGTGGTGCACACCCGCCCGCACCTTCCAGCCCTTCATCGGTGCAGGGCTCTCCTCCGTTGTGGCGTGGGACGCGTTGCGGGATGGCTTGGGTGCGGCGGCGGTGTGGTGTCTCTGCTGCCGTTGTGTCGTCTCTTGTGTTGTTGGTTTGTGTGATCTCTCTGCAAGCGTGGCCATGAACCGGGAGAGGGAGGAGGGCCCTGCGGCGGGGGCAGGGGCGGGGGCGCTGGTGGTGTCTCGTGGTGGGATGTCTGCCACTGAGATGGCGGAGGACTCAACGTCCGTGTCACATGCTGGAGGCAGATGGAGGGAGACACTCAAGAATGAGCATCTGGCATATTGATGCATCTTGTGTGTGCTGTGGGCTGACTTCGCAGGGCACCTCTGTGTGAGTTCTCCGTGTCCGTTGCCGGCGCGTCGCTGACCGCCCCAGCGCCCTTCTTTCGCCGCGGCGATGGCGTCTCCTCTTCCCCCTCCTCCTCGTCTGTGGTCACGCTATCGAGGAACTCCCGCACCCAATCAAGCACACAGCTGGCCAGCTCCCACAAATGCCACACACTGCAGACACACAGGCATGCAGACAGGAAGGTAACCCAGGTAGTGGAGTGAGCGTGAGACCCCGTACGTTCCTTCAGCAGAGCCGCTGGGCTCTGACACGCCGCTGGCGATCTCGTCCCAGTACTCATTGTGAAGGCGGGAGACCGACCTGCATATCCCCCACCATCAGAGACATCCGAGTGTGGAGGGGCCAGCAGCCTCACTTGGCCTCTTGCAGTGCGCACAGCACTTCCGAAGCAAGCAGCGCCTCCCGGGGAGGCGACGACTTGAAAGCCACACGAAGGATGGCTGAGTCCCCTCACCCCAAACACACACACACACCCAAATAGAGAGAGTAGACTAAGTATGACTTAGACTTGAGCAGAATCCCCTCTACGTACCATCTCGAAACGCCCGTATGCCTCTAAGCAGGTCGATGCCGTCCTCATTCCCCTTGTTGCTGCCCTCAGGGTCCCCTGCCGGCTGCCACCCCGAGGCGACGGCCACCCTTCGTGCGGAGAGAATGAGCATCTCCATCCCGCTCCAGTAGCGCAGGAAATCAACGGGTGTGTGCTCGAGGGCCGCCTTGGATGGATGGCCGTCCGGAAGCAGGAAGGCCTCCTGCACACAAGGCGGAGAAAGGCACAGGGGGAGGGAAGACAGAGAGATCTGTGTAGGTAAGTTCCCTCGAGGTGGGTCGTTCTACCTGCAGCAGCCTGGCGAATTTCTTCCGCTTGAGCTGCTGGATGGCCGCATACTGCGACAGCTCCTGCCGCACGCTGGTAATCATGATCCCCTCCACATTGCTGCCCCCCTCCTCCCAACCGAGGGTCTCCTTCTGATCCTCCCACACACGAAGCAGGGCGGACAGGAGGGTCAAGGAGTTGGCCTCATCTTGTGGAACGAGAAGGCCTCCCACAGCCTCGTCAGCGCTGTCACTCGCCGCCATTTGCGCCTTTGGATCTTGCGAGCGAGACAATCAGGCCCCCACTGCCCCCCCTGTCTTTGAGGCTGCCAGTAATCATGCAGGCTCTGAGCCTGTTGGATGTGGCAGGGGAGTCGATTGACCGGCTGATTGCCGCCAGTCAGGAGCGACAGCATTCGTCGGTGTCTCTGCGTGCGTCTCTCGATGAGATGCTCGCAGAGAGGGGGAGAACAGTCGTGGGGCTGGCCAGGGCGGGGAGGGAGGCGCCTGCTCAAGTCCCTGCTGGGGGAGATCAGGTGGTAAGCAAGCCGCTGTTGCGTCGTTGCATTGCAATGGCGATTTTCTCCTTTGCTTTGCGTGTGGTGTGCCCATGTCTGCAGATAGACAAGAGAGAGCGGAGTTGCCTTGTCGGTCAGAGTCAGCCCTTTCAGGATTCCCCAGTCCCGTCGACACACACCCGGCAGCCCCCGGCCTACTGGCGGCCGCCTCCCCCTCCCTCTCCGCCCCCTGTTAACGAGCAGCATCAGAGAGGGAGACAACAGCGATTGTCTTACCACGACACGAGCATCTGGAGGGCGCCAAGAGATGATTCCTACCACTGCCGGGTCGTGTCTGAGCCGCCAGAGCGATTGGAAGATCCGGGACAGCCCAGACCGAGAGCCAGGGGGACGGTGGATGAAGGGATGGTGGTAGTCGGTGCATCTGACGCTGAGGCGTGCAGGTAGGCGGGGCGAGGCGAGGCGCACACAGAGAGAACTCACTGTCCATGAGCTTCTTTCCCTGGCATGCAGCACGATATTGCCCGACTTGGCGGCTTCGGGACACCATCCTGTTCGTCACTTTCGTGAAGAGACCAGGGCCTGGCCCAGTCAGCTGTTCATGGGAGAAAGGAAAGCACCAGTCCAGCAGCAGCAGCAGCCCACGGCCGCGAGACACGATGTGCCAAGTGGCGTGGGAATCCGGTTGATGCGCGTCGGCCATGAGACGCAGAAGCCTCCCGCGAGATACACGGATACGGAGTAGGAGACAAAGAGACACGGCGCCGCATGGAACGCAATGCTCCCTCTCACCATCTCTGTGCCGGTGGCCATTTGCAGTGCTGTGCCATCCCCTCTCCCTCCCTCCCCACCTCTCCCCCCCTCTCGCCGCCCCCTCTCTCCCCCCTTCATCTGCCAGCGGTGCGGGCACGACGTCGGCAGGGCCGGCCAGCCATACGAACGGACAAGAGGCAGATCCACAACCACATCCAGGGCCGCAGCAGAGCCTCAGGGTGGGGGTGGTTACAGGCGTCCCCCGACGGCCTTTTCTTCGCCGATAATGTCTGCATTTGATGGGATCGACGGGTTGGCGCCGACGGCGGAGAACGCGGCGATGATTGGGCTGTTGAAGGAGTGCAAGAGGTGACATACATGGCTGGGAGGGTGGTTGTCCCACGCATGTGTGTCTGTGTGCGCCGGCAGATTGGAAAAGCAGATAGTGCAGCAGAACTCGCTGATTGCCAAGGTAAGGTGCGATCGGATCGCACTCCTGCCTCACACAAAACATCTCATCTGCACGGGTCTCGCTATGTCTGTGTGTGTGATCAGCTTGAGTCAGAGGTTGAGCTGCTGTCACAGCAGGAGGCTGACATCAACACAAGCGCCCACACCAGCTACACCAGAGCAAAAGCAAGACCGCCCAGGTGGTCACTCAGATGAGGGGAGAGAGACAAGGAGGCCGTCGTCGTGAGGGTATGGCTACCTATCTAAATGTGACTGTCACGGGCGAGGTGGTGTGTGTGTGATGGAGACTGAGCTTTCTTGACGTCCGACTGAGACATCTGGTTGACATCTTGTGAATGAATGGCACTCTTTGTCTGTCACATGTCTAAGACCTGCCCTTACACAGAGACACGGAGAGACAGACGACACGGACAGAGACATGGATCGATCAACGCTCCTAATTAACTTTAGCCAACACTGGGTGCAGCAATGTGATCGTGTCATCCATCATGCCATGAGAGCCCACGCATTCGGCGTCCTCCGGTCATGCCGCAGAGCTATCCCCTCCCCTGCCGACCGCAAATAAGATGGAGGCCTGCACAAACATAACACCAAACACACCAACGTAAATGTCATCTCATCACATACACACACAAACACACGGGGCTTACGGAATATACAGTCCCTCGACCGGCTCGCCAATCGCTGCCGCCTCAGCGATGGCCTCGTCCACTTCCTCAGCGGGGTGTGTCGGCAGCAGCGTGGCCGCAATGGATTTCAGCTGCAGGTCCTCCCTCTCAGCGAGGCCCATCTTCCTCTTCTGCTGCACAAACTCCAGGTAAAACTCGCAACCATTGCCTGATGATGCCCACTTCTCCCCAATGCCAATCGCCCCCTTGTCGGCGTATTCGTCTCCCCGCGGCCGATCGGTCGTTTCGGTCTCTGTCCTCTTCGCTGCGATCGCCTGGCCTTCTCGTTCTGCTCGTTTTTCGCTCCTGGCCGTCCATTGTGACGTCAGCGTTATCTCCGGCCTTGTGCCGAGGTGAGGATGGGCATAAGGCCGCGCAGAAGCAGGTACAGGAGTCATGTTGGCGGCGTCATGGTCGCTGTCCGACGTGGCCTTGGGGATGCTGACCACACTCACGGGCGAGGCCGTGACGGGCGAGTTGTTGTTAGGGTGGTTTGGGGGGTGTTTCCTCACACCCATTGCTCCCTCCTCCCCGCAAAGCCACCTCCTTTGCTCGGGTCTGAGTGTCTCAGGCCGCTCGATCTCCACACACACTTCAGGGGCCGTCTGCGGTCTCTGGAAAAGGCCGACGATCCTGTCTGAGAAAGAGGGGGTCCGTATCCGCTCGGCCGTGAGCTCGTGTGGGGTGGGCGAGGGCGTAGGTGGGTGTCTCTCGGCAGAGTCCTCCCTCTTCCGCACTTTGGAGGGCGTCCATGCGTCCGGGTGTTCCTTCGGCCGGCCCAGCCTTCTTGTGAGGTCTCTCGCCGTTTCTGGGGGAGGGGGAAGGGGGATGGACAGCTCCTTTAAGCCCTCCCTGCCCGTCTCCGTGCTGGTTGTCTTGATCCAGCCTCTGTCGTGCCATCTCTCTCTCTCCCTGCTGGTGCTGGTGGTGGTGGGCCTTGTTTGCGTGTGGATGTGCATCGTCAGAGGCGGTGTGGGTGTGGGTGTGGGGGCTGTTGGGGGAGGGAAGGGCTGCTCGGGGAGGGAGGGGATGTTGATTGGGGGGTTTTTGGCCGTCTGCGCTGATGGAGAGCACGGCCGCGTAGTGGTCGGCCTCGCCCTTCTGGATGTGCGGCTCTTGAACAGATGCCCTCCTGCGCACACAAAGGATGGTCTCCAGCGGCTACCTCTGTCGATTGTCTTTCACCGCACCAGCAGTTTCCGGCCGTGTGATGCGTCTCCTCGGTTCTCTGTCCTGTCTCCGTGTCTCCTTGCCCAGCACGGCACTCACGTCACGGTTGGCTTCCTCCGGGGGCAGCGGGGCCGCCACCCAGGGACTGCAACCAAACATACCATGACCGATGCACATCCATCCAGACATCGACATCTCGATGCACACAGCGTGACTGCGCGTATCTGTGTGTGTGTGTGTGTGTGTGCGTACGGTTGGTGTGTGAGGTAGAGGTTGAGTCTCGGTACGCGCCGCTTTAGAGGGTGCAGCAGGGTGCCTCGTGGGTTGCTGCCGCTCACCCACCTGGGGGGGGGGGGGGGGGG